GGGGGTAGCCCATCCCCCTCCCTTAACCCCCCAAATCCTGGTGGCAGTGGGATTTGATCCCAGGTCTCTACTCTGACGAGTCAGATCCTACCAAGTCACCCCAACCCTGGTGGCAGCGGGACTTCAAGTCTGTGCAGGCCTGGAATAGTTGAGGAGGCCCATTTGTAATTAAGAGCATCTGTGTTGGTACAAGATGTTGTACCAAAAGGCTATATTTTTCTGATGAATAAAAATGATTAGATTTGTATTTTGGGCTCTCACCAACTTGTGTTCAAACTTGTTAGACTAAGAAAGTATAATGCAGCTTGTGCATCACTGTAGAAGAAATTATGTTTTGTTACTGACATATATTGTGCATATCAACTTCATAGTTTGAGATGTAAAATGGTATACTTTTTTATGGTTCTACCTCTATCTGATTTTAGTTTTTATGGAAGTCTGTATGTATGATTTATATGGTCAAAATTTGAGTACTGGAAACCTTTTGCAGATGCCTGATGCTGTGGTAGACTATAACTTATCAAATGGCGAGTGGGTTATTGTTCAACAACAAAATGTGCTTCATGAAAGTACACAAACTCTTTATGGCATAACTTCTAGTAGCAGCAAGGGGAATCAATCAAGTTCCAAAAACTGTAGTTTCATAAATGAATTCAATTATGAAAATAACCGCTTGTGGAATGATCTCTCTGAGTTCTATGCTTGTGAGCATTATAATGTCTCCTCACATGATGGGTTGGAAATTCCTTTAACCGTTGTATATTCGCAAAAACACGAACAGGATGGACAAAGTCCAGGTTTACTTCATGGGCATGGAGCTTATGGTGAATTATTAGACAAAAGGTGGCGTAGCGAGTTAAAAAGCCTTCTTGATCGTGGTTGGGTGGTTGCATATGCTGATGTTAGGTTTGTTCAGCATCGGTTTCCTTTTCAAGTTTTCAGTGTGCATGAAATATTATGAAAACTTAAGAGGTGCCTTTTTCTTTAATAGCAACTTCATATAAGTTCATTTTATTTAGTCAACAATTTAGTTTTGATTGATATTTAGTCAACAGTTTATTATGATTTACTCTCTTTGTACTTACCTTTCATTTTTCATTACTGAAATGCTTCTGTTACTGATAAAAAAAATCTTTAGACCTCATATATTGAAGTTTGAGCTTAGTATTTGTTGTTACCATGTGTTTGGATGACAAATTGTAATGACTTAAATTGTTTCTTCTCAGAGGTGGAGGTGGTGGTGGTAAAAAATGGTTTCACGATGGCAGGCGGACAAAAAAAGATAATTCCATCAAAGATTACATTTCCTGTGCTAGGTTCCTCATTGAAAAGGAAATTGTGCAAGAAAACAAGCTTGCAGGTTGGGGTTATAGTGCTGGTGGACTTCTGGTTGCTTCAGCTATTAATTCTTGTCCAGAGTTATTTCGTGCTGCAGTTCTGAAAGTAGGCCCGCAATGGTTCATATGGTTCCTAGTTTTTCCTGTTCGTTCATAATATGTGACAAGTGTCTGCTTCATTGCTCCATAGTAATTCTGTATTATCTGTAGGCTTGTGTTTCATGAGCACTTCAAAATGGGTCTCAAGTCTGTGTTAGACACTCATTTTTAGCGACTTTGTGTCCAAAACCTTGCCTTGTGTTATCTGGGTAGCATAGCTATAGGTTGATAAATTTCTAAAGCTGTTGAACAATTTGGGGTTCATTATTATAGCAAGAGTCAGTGTGTGCAAAATTTTCTGAATAAGTTAAATATTTGGTAGATGATTCCTTGTCTTCTATTTTTGTTGCAGGTTCCATTTTTAGATGCCACCAACACTCTTCTCTATCCAATTTTACCACTTACACCTATTGATTATGAAGAGTTTGGGTATCCTGGTGTTATTGAAGACTTTCAGGCTATACGAAAGTACTCTCCTTATGACAATATTCAGAAAGGTGTTCTTTATCCTGCCGTCTTGGTGACAACATCTTTTAGTACAAGGTAATATTTCTGATAGCTTGGGTGATTCCTTGTCCCTTCCACAGTTAATATACTATACAATCTTAAATTTATCAAAAAAGATCTGATAGCTTAGGTGGATTTACTGTTGATATCTGTAGGTTTGTTCTACTACCTTGGTTATTGATATCATCTGACTAATAATTCTATGTAAAATATATACCTGGATAGAAGTGTAGTGTCTCTTATATCTATTATATAATTTGGAAATATTAAGTTCTAGACATTGCCACATGGGACACTTTTTGGGTGAACAAACTGAACATATCCAAAGGGAAATCTCCAAGTTAGAAGACTAACAGTGTTACTGTTGTTCTAGTTCTATAGGGAACCTAACATGTGACAACCGTCTTGATCTAGAATGCATCTTTAGGCCTTGTTTTGTTAATCATTCCAGAAAGTCTTATTTTCTCTTTCTAGTTTGATTCCATGAATGCTTGTATTAAATAGTTCTGATTTTGAGGTTACCATGTTAATCTTTTCCCTCTTATTTGGTAGTTGAGATGCTTTAACATGATATTTACTTGGACTTTGGGTTTCGTAGAGGGTTAAGGGATGGTGAGTCGAGTTGTGTTATTTAGCTAATTCATTTACTAGAATCTGCTTGCTTGGACCCCACTTCTTCTGATCAAAGGGTTTGGACTCCTCTTCCAAAAGGTACTTTTACTTGCTCTTCTTTTCTAAAATCCCTCAGTTCTAACCCCATTTCCCAAGGATTCCCTGTCAAAGAAGTCTGGGCGCGACCTATTCCCCCAAAAAT